GTATAGTGCTTTTAGTAGAGCACTAATCTCTAGGATAAATAAAAAATTCAAAAATCTTAACAAAAAAATCAAATAATATAATCAATACATGGGCCAAAGAACTGAACAGACACTTCTCAAAAGATAATATACAATCAACAAATATATGAAAAAATGTTCAACATCTCTAGCAATTAGAAAAATGCAAATCAAAACTACTCTAAGATTTCATCTCACTCCAGTCAGAATGGCAGCTATTATGCATACAAACAACAATAAGTGTTGGCAAGGAAAAGGCACACCCATACATTGCTGGTGGGACTGCAAATTGGTGCAGCCAATATGAAAAGCAGTATGGAGATTCTTTGGAAAACTGGGAATGGAACCACCATTTGACCCATCTATCCCACGCCTCAGTCTATACCTAAAGGAATTTAAAACAACATACTATAGGGTCACAACCACTTCAGTGTTTATAGCAGCACAATTCACAATAGCTAAACTGTGGAACCAACCTAGATGCCCTTTAATGGATGAATGGATAAATAAAATGTAGTGTATGTACACAATGGAATATTATTCAGCATTAAAAGATAATAAAATCATGGCATTTTCAGGAAAAATGGATGGAGTTGGAGAATATAATGCCAAGTGAAGTTATCCAATCCCCAAAAAACAAATGCCGAATGTTTTTTCTGACTTAAGGATGCTGATTCATAATGGAGGGGGGGTGGGCGTGAGAGGATTAGATGAACTCTACATAGGGTAAAGGGGAGTGAGAGGAAGGGAGGGGGCATGGGAGTAGGAAATATGGTGGAATAAGATGGATATCATTACCCTAAGTACATGCATGAAGATAAGTATGGTGTGACTCTGTGTAGAATCAGAGATATGAAAAATTGTGCTCTATATGTGTAATATAAATTGTAATGCATTATGCTGTCATATGTAACAAATCTAAATTAAAAAATAAACAAAATTTATGTAATTGCTCTCATACATGATTTACACCTTCTAGTATTTAAAATCTTTAAACATAAATACTTTGTACTACTTGGGTAGTATAGACCACCTGGTATGTACTTAAGATGATGACGTGATGAAAGTTGGTAAAGTCAGAAGGAGGAGGAGGAGGAGGAGGAGGAGGAGGAGGAGGAGGAGGAGGAGGAAATAATACAGCATCTTTATTACAAAAAAGAATATACTTTTAAAAATTCAATACTCTATAAAAAACATTTAAAAATTGTGCGAAAAGCTGAACAGACATTTCAAAGTAGATGTTTGTTAAGCAAATAAGTACATGAAAATGTGTTCAGTAGAATTTGTGCTATGGAAATGCAATCCACACTGAGATGCAATTACCTACTTCAGAATTGCTAAAATTAAGAAAACTGATAATAATATGTATTGTCTTGACTCTGGAAGAACTACAAACCTGACACACTGCTGATGGGAATGAAAAGTGGGTAACTTTGACAAGYAGTTCAGGAGTCCCTTAAAAAGTTAAACTTATTCTACCATATGACCCAGCCATTCTACTCCTGGTTATGCAGACAAAGGAAAAACAGTAGGTGTTCATGTAAAGATATTTACACAATTATTTCTAGCAGATTTATTCAAAATAATCCAAACTAGAAACAGTCTAGATATCAATATGTGAGTGGATAAACTGTGCTTTATCCAAATAAATCCCTGATACACACTCTAGCACCAATCAATCTCAGAACAACTGTGTTGAATGAAATAAATCACACCAATAAAGAGTACTGTAGTATGGTGCAATTTTCTTTAAATAAAAGTTTAGGATGTATATATTAATATACAATGGCAGAAAGCAGGTCAGTAGTTATTGAAGAGCCAGAGAGATGGACTATAAAGGGGTATTAGAAGAATTTTAAAGATGAAGCATATTTTCATTAACTTTGATTTGCATTTTCCTAGAATTAATACAATCAAAATATTGAAAATATATAGCTGTTTTGATGGTTTCAAAACTTTTAATAAGTGTAGTTCATTACTTATCAACTATACTTCAATAAACCTCAAAATAAAAATTAGTTAGGAGTTTGTAATGAAGTTTTTTTTTAATGTCAAGATGTGCTGAGCTTTGGCTAATCATTTCAACTGATATTAACAAATATATTTATCTCATTAAAAATGAGGGAGCCTTAAGGACTTAGGAATTAGACTAGAGACCCTGTGCCTAACAGAAGAAAAAGTAGGCCCAAATCTTCATCTGTTGGATTAGGTTCCAACTTCCTATTAGAAGACTTCTATAGCACAAGAAACAAAATCAAGAATCAATAAATAGGATGGATTCAAACTCAAAAGATTCTTCTTAGCAAAAAAAAATAATGAGGTGAAGAGACAGCCTACAGAATTGGAGCAAATTTTTACACATGTGCATCAGATAGAGCACTAATCTCTAGGACATATAAAGAACTCAAAAAAACTTAACACTAAAAAACCAAATAACCCAATCAATAAATAGGCCAAGGAACTGAATAGAAACTTCTCAGAGGATGATATACAATCAATCAACAAATTATATTAAAAAATGTTCAACATCTCTCTAATTAGAGAAATGCAAATCAAAACTACTCTAAGATTTCATCTCACTCCAGTCAGAATGGCAGCTATTATGAAGACAAACAACAATAAGTGTTGGCGAGGTTGTGGGGAAAAAAGGAACATTCATACATTGCTGGTGGGACTCCAAATTGGTGCAAACCAATCTGGAAATCAGTTTGGAGATTCCTTGGAAATCTTGGAAAAGAACCACCATTTGATCCCCCTCCTTGGTCTACACCTAAAGGACTCAAAAACAGCATACTACAGTGATACAGCTACATCAATGTTTATGGCAGCACAATTCACAATAGCTAAACTGTAGAACCAACCTAGAAGCTCTTTTATAGATGAATGAATAAGAATCTGTGTTACCCACACACACACACACACACACACACACACACACTGGAATATTACTCAGCATTGAAAGTGTTGGTTATTACCACTGTTCTTAGTAGGACGAAAACTGAGAATATCCATTTGTTAACGGAGGAAATATATCTATTTTCATAAATTGGACCCTTTTTACTGCCTCGAGTGATTCATTCACACAGCATGTAGAATCTCTAATTTCAGCATTTCAGTCCTGAATTTTATTTAAAATAGAAGTCTAAAAGAACTCTCAGAGAGAGAGTAAAACGGTGCACTCTACATGCAACCCCTGGTGGGTTTCATACACAATTTTTATGTTTATATTCATGACCACAGGATTCCTTGGTTAGTTGCTTGTTTATCTGGCTGTGAAACTTTGCTGTAATTTGATTTTCTCCTGGAAACCAATTCTTGAGTAAATATCATAAGAAGAGTTGATCCACTAAATACTAGGGTGGTCCCAATTACAAGTGACCTGATTAGACAGTAAGAATTAATTTGAAGTGGATGAACCATTATTAAATAAAAGCTAGAAGAAATAAAACCTCTCCCATTTCATTTCACAGGATGGCATGCATCTTACATGCCCTGCAGCTAAATAGAAAGATAGCACCCTACATATGGTAGGTTCATTCCCCTGTTTTCAGCTTATATATCCCTAGACAAATCACCATTACTATTGTGCTCTTCAGTGACTTAACCCGGTAAAAGTATACTTTTAAAAGTTAGAAGCTCTCAAAAGGAAGTCTGCAGCTAAGTTTTTGGTTACAAAAAATGTTAATTAGTTGGGCACGGTGGTGCACCTATAATCCCAACAATCCTGAGGCAGGAGGATCACCAATTCAAAGTTAGCCTTAGCAAAAGCGAGGTGCTAAGCAACTCAGTGAGACCCTGTCTCTAAATAAAATACAAAACAAGGCTGGGTATGTGGCTCAGTGGTTGAGTGCCCCYGAGTTCGATCCCTGGAATAAAAAAACAAAAACCAAAAAACTGTTAAATGTTAATTAGGCCAATACCTTTTGATAGAGTCAGTGTTTAATCTGGATAACTGAAAGAATTTTAGTACATGCAAACAAACAAAAATATATATTTATCCAGGGATAGGAAAGAAGTTTTTTCCCTGTATAGTATATGTAGATTTATTTGCTAAAGGGAGAAAATGCATATATTCAACACCTGAATGTCAAAGTCATATGATATATTGGGAAGGCAAGGAATTACAATTATTTAGAAACTGAGTTCCAGTCGTAGTTCCAGTTCTGCTGTTCCACAAACTATGTGGCCAAAGATAAACAACCTCTCTGGGCTTCTTTCTCCAAAAATGGCAAAAAGGATCTCTGACTTCCCAACTTTGGGAAATTTCTAACTGTGGGAAATTGCTAAAAGAACCAAATATATCACACATGTATCTCTCTCTCTCTCTCTCTCTCTCTCTCTCTCTCTCTCTCACACACACACACACACACACACACACACACACACACACATCCTTTACAAAACTGTGAAAAATCACATATGCATCTGAACTGGCTTTTAGAAGCAGACATGTAAGATTCGGAGTAAAAAAATATTCCACCAGGAGTAGAGAGAGCTGGACTTAAATTTCAGCTCTTCCCGGAAGAAGTTGTGATTTTTGGAAAACGCATGCACTCTGCTTGGATTTCAGTTGCTTACCTATAAATAGTAAAAATATCAAATGAGGTATTCAAAATAATAGCTTTGAAAGTTTGTGCTTTTTGCAGGGTCTCAGAGATTGTGCCAAACTCCTTTCTTTCCCACAGGTTTTCATTTTCATTGGTAGATCAAGTACTTAGAATTGCAGGCAACTGCGGCTATTTCCAGTGCCGTGTSTTTATCTTTAGAGGTCCTAATCACACATTTTCTCAGGTAGTCAAGGAGCAAGGCAACTCAAAGAGCTTTGGCACTCCCTTAATTAAATGATAAATATGTGTCAGAGTAACTTTGATCAAATTCCTCCGCTCGCTTTTAACGCAGGACTGCGGTGATCATCCACATGGCTTAGACATTCTGATTCAAATACACATTCATATACACCTTATGAAACCTATTACCGATACCTGAAAAGGCCACCTGCTGGAGATGTGGAGGAGTTTCCTTATCCATCTGTCGCCTTGATCCCCAAATATCTGCCATAGCAGCTGTCCTCTTGAGTTACTCCAGATCCGCTGGTAGATAGCCAGCCTGTAGATGTGCTTGCCAAACATGTGGTAGTATAAGCGGAAGGTACAGCCCTCCATGTCAGTGGCATTAAAGGTGGGGCTCAGTAAAACAGCCTTGTTTTGGAAATCCTGTGGCTCGGAGGATTCGATGTAGAGATAGTGTCCTTTAACTGTGCCCAAAGTATTATCCTTCATGGGCCCGGTATTTAGGGTTGAAGTTGGACCCTGGTTCCTGGTCCAATCAAAGTCATCTTCTGTGTCTTGTTCCCAGTTACAAATTCCATTCTCAAAGTTACACTGTAGTTCAGGGGCTGAAATTGGCATTAAATAATGGCAAGAGTTAATTAAGGACACAACTAAATATGAAGAAGAGCACAGATACTTTTGTCATGCAAAGGCAAGCAATTTTAACTTCAAAATGCATCATTAGTTTTTAAAAAGGTAATGCATGCCAGATGATGCAGCAAATAACAATATTCTATGCACTGAAGATAAAATTGCCTTGGCCATTATTTTCTTCATGTTTATTTGTTCTCCTCCCTATTCCAGGTCTGTTAGCATCACTCCAAGCAAATGACCATGACACCATGGCTGGTTCAGTAAAAAATTTCTAGCTCGGTGCATTTCAAACTCAACTAAACATTCTAATCAGCCAGGAGCATTAAAAACAAACAAATACCAAAGCCCAGAGATATTTATTTAATTGCTTCAAGTAGTAAAGCCATGATCAGGATTTTTTTATAAGTTCCCTTAGAGATCCTAATAAAGCTAAGAACAATCCTACTTCAATGAGTCTCACAATTTAAGAATCACCAGGAATTGATCGGTAAAATCGCTTCATGATAAAATCCCCAAATAAATACTAGTTTATGGAGTGAAACTCACAAATTCAAATTTTTAGCAAATACTCAATTCTTTTTTTTTTTTTAATATGATGGTGGGAATTGAACCCAGGGCCTTGGGCATGTGAATCAAGCACTTTACCAACTGAGGTATATCCCCAAAACCCCCTTAAGATAATTCTTATGTAGATATTTTCCAAACTTCAGCCTAAAAAAAAATTTTAAGTTATATCCTGCCCAAGCTCCATGTGTTCCAAAATACCAGTGCCAGAATAATAATTCTTCAATGGCAGTATTACCACTTATTTTTTCTCTATTCAAAATCCTTTAACATACCTTCCTTTAATCTAAACTTTAATCTCCTCCCCAAATTAAAACGCATCTCTCTCCTTCAGATGCACTATCTTCCTGTGTATTTTGGACTCTGACCCTGTCTCTGTTCACATCTGATGTTCCCACCTGTGCTTTGTTAACTCTCTGCTGTATCTCATCAGTGGTTACCCTTCTTCTCACTGGTCTGTAGCTACTTTGAGCCTTCTAAGTTTCTTCTAACTTTTCACTTCTAACTTCCTTCAGTCACTGGAACAATTTTGACTTTAAAGGAATCGACTAGCCCAATTAAATGTTCGACCTCAAATTTCTAGGGTAATACAGGAACATGTTCATTTTTCAAGGCATAAGGATTTTGTTGACACCAAGTATTTGCTTTTGAATAAATGGGATAAAATGTGCATTTGACAGTATTTGGGCTGAGGGGAATGGATTTAAAATTCACAGGTAGTTCCACATTTTAGCTTCATTTACATAAGTTAATATTTAAAAAAAAATAAACATACACTGTCCTTTAACAATTCATCTTCATAATAGTACTTAGTGCCAAAGATGAGCAAACACCCTGAAACAATAAATAAAAGCCTATGTGAATAAAAGCAGTCAGGCGAGGACAAATCATCTGTCTCTGAAAACTGCAGAGCAGGCGCTTAGACCTAATGAAGGAAAGGGAGTTGGTAAATGTCAAAAGGGAGATGAGCTTTCATTTGATATTTCCTCACTTGTGACTAATCAAGCCCAGCTGTGACGTGAACTGGGGACATGCAATGTACTCTTCAGGTGTCTGTCTTTTGCTGTGGAGCAGATGGAGAATGTCAAGTTGCTGAGTTTTTGACATAAAACTGGCACTAATGCCAACAGACTTTTACATTGTCTGTCTTCACACTGACTACACACTCAATCTTCATTTCCATGGCAATATGTGTAGTTCTGCCCTTCAGTGAAAAATCACATCTCTAAACATATTTCAGGAGATACAGCATGGGTTTCAGGACATGCAGTGGACACCATGTAATAAAATCACATGCCACCATGCAGAGCTGTGAGAAGCCACCATTCTCCTGACACTGTTTTTTCCTTTCGATAATACACAAACACAAGAAGCAATTTGCTGTTGTGTTTGCACTCCCATAATCCTACACTGAGAAATTTGAAGGATAATTTACTTGTTTTTATAAGCAGCTCAAGATTTAGAATTTAGAGAACAGGGAAAAAATGAAAAGGCTTTCCAACTTTGAAAAAATAAATAGCTCTGGGGCAAGTTAGACTTCTTATGATGGTCGTTGTCAAAATCATCAATGTTAATGCCATCCGCTCAAATATCCGTTGTATAAATTTCATGAGATGCATGGTAATTCTGACTTTAACATGCCTGACTTCAGTATACCTTTGATAATGTGTATCAAAGTTTGCACACCTGCAAAGCTCTCTGCAACAATTTACATGGAAATTTCTTAATGTAATATTTTCTGTAAGGTACCAAGCATTCTATGATTCTATCTTGGTTTATAATCTGCTTCCAAATTTAATAAATACCTAGCTTGAAATTTAAAAATTGTTGCTGCTTCAGGAAAAGGAATCTGAGTCCAAGAAAAGTTGCAAACTTTCTAAAATATTTTTGAAATGAAAACAAAATACTATTAGCTTCTGATTAACTTTCAGAAGTGCATTACTGAAGCTATGTGCATTAAGCTGCAAGGCCCACATAATCATCAGATAACAAAAACTTAATAACTTATACCAGAGACCCAAGACTGATTTTGACACCTTATTTCCTAATACCGAGAGCCAAAAGAACAAGTATACTAAATAATCAAATGTCCCTCCTAAATAGTTGCCCTAAGCCTCATCACTCATCTCCTTCACCACCAACACAATTCACTGCCATCTACTGTCCTATGGGATACTGCAAGAGTTCCTTGCTAGATAATCAGAATCCACTGTGCTCTAACCATTATATCATAGAGGGACTTTTTTTTAAAGCATGCAAATTTGAGGGTTTTATTATCCCCCTTCTTAAAAACTTTCAAACAAAGCAGATTTCTTGAGCCTGGACTGCAAAGATCTGCCAATCTAGCCTCCCCCATACATCTATCTCTATGTTTTACTCTCTTGACCCTTTCTTCACTGGAGCTACATCATCTGTCTTTCATCAGACTTGCAGTCACACATCAGGCCTTTGATATATACTTTGACTTATTATTTTTAGATTATTCTCCTAAATCAAATTCCATTACCATATAAAGTCCCAGCACCCCTCTTCATACCTCCTGGTAGAGTTGATATATTATTTTTATTTATGAAATATTAGAATATCCATCTCTTCAGTTAGATTGTAGAGCCCATAAAGGCAGAGATTCTGCATAATTGGGTCCTTTCATTGTATTCCTAGGATCTAGTTAATAAGTCTTCTAAATAAAGGCTGAAAGACCTGATTAATTAATAATAATATAATATCTGATATTCACTGCATAGTGGCACTGGATTGATTTGACTAAAAAATAATAGTGAGCTAGTCAAGGTCACCCCCTCAAAATAAGTCAGAGGGACCAAAAACAAAAACATTAAAAAGGAGAAATGCCAAAACCCTTACCACAGTCAACTTCATCAGTATAGTCACCACAGTCATCCACCAGATCACATAACCGAAGCCTTTCTATGCAAGCATTTGTGTGTGGACAATGGAAGTGATCTGGCTCCTCGCAGCTCTCAGCAGGCAGAGGAAGGGTACAGTTTTCAAATCTGATGTCATCAATAGCYGAGACCCCATCATAAATGCCAAGACTGACTTTATCCAGTGTCAAGTAGAAGGGCTGGGTCAGGCGCCCTAGCTGGATGTTCACCTCAGACCACTGGTTGCCCTGGTTGTACAACACTCTCCAGAGTACTGTTGAGTCACCAGGGTTTTCTGTATGTAACCGCAGCTCAGCTGCTCCCACTGACTGGCCATAGTTATAAAACCTGAAAAAGAGCAAACCCAAGAAGCAGGCATAACTTATGAGATACCCTAAATATTTAACCTCTGGACTCTTCCACTTGGTCAAGAGCCAATTAATAATTGGTTGTCATAAYGGACACCATTGTTTCCTGCAGTAATTCTTGCCACCTGTTTGCCAGAACTCATCTGCGGAGGTGATACTCCATGGCTCTCACAACCCTAATCTCACATCAGATTACAAAAAGGATAAACCAAAAAGGCATCATATGAATGTGCTAAGTGATGATGTTCAGCTGTTGCTACACATACCAATACAAAATGACATTGATTTCCATTGATATCAATGGGAGCCCTTTTCAAGGAATTTGGAGAGAACAGAGGAAAAGACTTAATTAAATTTTAATCCACTACTGGCGGGAAAGAGTACCTATCATAAGAGGAAAAACAAACAAGCAAACAAACAAYTTATGACATGCTCTTAAGTTAAATGAAGATTGTGTGAACTTAGTGTAATACCAATTTTTTAAGCAAAAACCAGGGATAAAACAAGAACAGTTAATATGTTCAGAAGGATTTCTGCAACCACTGGGTCAAAAGGGTAATTGAGAATTGTTTTTAATATTTACCAGAAAGAAAGTGTGCACCCAGACCCTGTCTGGCTGAAAGTTGGGCTCTGGAGTTTAGCAACTTGGGACAAGCTGTTTCTGTTCTTCAGAATAAACATAAAATGGCCTGTTGGGATACAAAACAAAATCGTTAGTTAGCCTACTGGAATTTAAAATGAGACAAATGTCTCTTAATTCAATACTGAGTGAATTTAGTGCACAACTAAAATTATAACTTACACAACAATACAAAAGTCAACAGTGATCATTAGTCAAATTTGCTTTTATAAAAATGCTAAATGATATAAAAATAATTGATAATTTTGGTTCATCCAGCCAAAAATATATCTATGCTGCATCTCTACCACCCACAGAGCAATAATTTTATGCAGACAGAATACCACCATGGACAATATTCAACCATCCTACTGATGCTTCTTCTGATGGCATTGAACACATCTCTTTCTCTTTCCCATCTGGGGCCAACTGAAGAGTAAATAAGAGTAGTTAGTGGAAACTTAGTTGCTTCTTACCTTCAGTTGTGTTATGAGTATGATCCTGAGGGGGCGCCTGTTGCTTAAAATCAGCAGAAAGATGACTTTGGGAGCTCCATACCCAGTCAAAATGGTCACCAGCAATTGCTTCAAACCAACCGCAGCTGTTTGCTTCAAAATCACAACTGGAAACTGAACAACACAATGGTGGCACTTAGGGTGGCTCTCCACAGTGTTCCCACACTTTGAAAAGGTAGATTTCAAATGCATACAGTCTTACTATGATTTTCCCATTACAGTAAGGGGACTATATTAAAGGACACCTTTGAGGGTGGGGAAAAAAAGATACATTCTGATTTGAAAAGTGGATTTATGTTTTTCATACTGGATATTGAGAAAGCAGAATTTCAATTCTCAATGGAGGAAATTCAGGGTTGTTTTTTTTTCGATATATTCTATAGATAGCATCATTCAGCCTTATTGTCTGTAAAATTATTAAGGTTTTGCTAATTTGTTTTCATAGTCATTTCAGTTTCCCTCTTCTTGCTAGAGACTGTGTTAATTGCTCCTAAAGAGTATTTTAAATTAACTAATGAAAAGCAACTACTTATAAAAAATTAATATTTGGAAAAATCCCAGGTTTACTATATGATAAAACGTGTAGCCCTGATTTGTATAGAGTTTAGCATTTCACAAATCATTGTATCACCTAATTGTATAGGAAATAACTTTTTTTTCCTGGTACATATGCAGAGAAATCAGTTATTTTCCACAAAGACATTCTAAAAAAARGAAGAGAAGGGGGAAAAGAGAATGGGAAGTTATAAATATTAGCAGTGTAGAATTATAGTTAATTAGTTACTATAATAACTTATACAATAGACTCTGTGCCAAATGTGTTACATAGATTCAACTTTCAGAACAACCTTAGGAGATAAGAACTGCTGCTGCTGTTGCTATTTTACAAAGGTAAAAAGTGAGTTTAGGAAAAGTTATTAATCTACCCAAGGTCATATAGTTAGAAAATTATGGAGTAGAATTGGAATTCAAATATTATGATTTTTAATCTAATTTTTTTCAAACTTTTGACTATAACCATTGGTTGTCATCGGATTAGAAAAAGGATAAACCAAAAAAGGCACCATATGAATGTGCTAAGTGATGATGTTCAGCTGTTGCTACACATACCAATACAAAATGACATTAATTTCCATTGATAATTATTACACTGGGATCCTTGGCTATTGTCCGCTTTTATCCAAAAACACAGGCATGTATTGCATAGATATTATCTTGTAAGATGAATTGGGAAGGAAGCAATAAGTTTCAGGGACAAAAATAGAAAGCAAATCACTAAATGCGATTATAAAATTTAGCAAGGGTCCTTTAGCTAATGATAAATCATTTTTTATATTAAAAATTCTACTTCTATATGGAGAAGAATGAGAGGTAATATGAGAAATATTTGATTTTTAATAGTTTTTTATAAAATATCTAATTTCAAAAATACAGTAGCCCTCTGTGAAATTTCCTGCTCCAAAATTTGACTAGCGTGGTACTTCCAAAGGTTACCAAAAGTCAGTAAGAATGTATGAATACATCTGAAAATACTTTGAAAACATCAACTCTAATTAGAGGTAGCTATATTTCAGTATATAGATACAATTAGAAATAAGCATTTTATCTATATGCAGAATAAAGATTTCTCAAGTAAAGTTTTTCTCAAGCAAAGATTTCTCAAGTAAAGATTGGTGATTTTTAAGAAGTTAGTACCTAGAGTCTAAGCAAGGACCACCATTGGGGCTTACAGAGAAATTAAATTGAATGCAAAATTAAATGTTACTTAACAGTGAAAAACAATAAAGATAAATATTGCAAGTTAGGGATAAATATGAAGAAAGTTTAATTAAGTCTTTGTATTTTTAAAGATTATCTCTAAGTATTTAATACACATAAATATATAGGCAGATATAGATTGTGGGGTTTCAAAGCATGTAGATATCATTCCACTCCCCAGGAAGCTGAAGCCTTGATTCCTATTTCATTCAAACTGCAGAAGATGACTAGGAATTCTTGTGACACAAAGACAGAAAGAAACAAGTTGCTGTTAATGCATAGTATCTACCCAGCACAACTACCTGTAAAGGGAACCTGGCTCTCTGCTATCCAGGAAGATACTGCTGTAGATATAATAAATATTCAAATGGTAGTAAGATTTTTTTWAAAAATCCCTGCAGTTACTTTGTAGTTCTCTTACAACAGTTAAAGATTATAGGTTTTTTTATTTAGTGTATCAAAGAAAAGGTTCCCATGTTTGTTGTAGCACTATTCACAAGGACAAAGAACTTAAAGTCAGATACAGAAATACAGATACCACAGGATCTCACTTTGATGTGGAATCGAAAACAGTGTATCTCAGAGAAGCTTAGAATAGAATAGTGGATACCACAASCTGGAGGAAGCAGGGAGACAAGAGGAGTGGGGAAAGTTTGGATAACCAGTAGGAAGTTATATTTAGAGAGGATTCAGAAGTTCTGGTGTGCTATTTGCACAGTACGGGGGCTACAGATAATGGTAATCCACTGTATATTTCAAAGAAATAAAAGGGTTTATTATATATAATTATATATATATATATATAATATATATATATTATATATATATATAATTATACCACGAAGAAAGAATATTTGATGATACAGGTGCTTACTTGATTTGAACATTGTATGACATATATGTGTATTGAAACATTTCACGGTAACCTACAAATATGTACAATTTATATGCCAATAAAATGACTTTTTTAAAAATAGGAATTTTTAACTGAAAATTCTGTTAAAATTCAAATATGCTTTCTGAATACACTTTGTTTCTGTATAAATTTCTATATACATTTAAAATTCCCAATCATAAATGTGATAACCAATGAAATTAATCTCCCAGCTAGACATAATTAGGTATATACCTCACTAGAAGAGACATGGAAATTATACACTCTGTATCCATTTCTGACTCAGAAATGCAATGCCATGGATACATTTTTAATAGTTGAGATTCAGGGATATTTCGCTGTTTCTGGATCATTATCGATTTCCTCAATTATCATCATCAGAAGCATCATTGTTTGCAATAACAATTGCAGTTACTGATTACTCAGAGTTTGAGGCATAGCATGCTTCAGGCTGGGGGCTGTTACATTCATAACAGAATGCCTGTTGACAGCATTTCTGAAAAGTGTGCTTATCTGTTCTACAGCTATGGGTAGAAAAGCTAATGACTCTACAGCAGCTTTTAATTATTGTGAGAAAAATTACCTGAGTGGCCTGTATTAATTATGCAAATATAATTACATTATCTGCCCCTGGGACAAGGGCATTAGGAGATAGCTGGTGAGCTGCCAAGTAGGTCCATCACTGCCATTTCCACAGCATTTCATTGAGGCAGAAGATGGATTGATGCAGTTGCCAAGGAAGTTCATGAGGAAGAGAGCTCAGAATCAGGTCCCATTTCATTTCTGATTGACTGTCTTAGAACTTCTCCGATGGTTTAGATGATCCTGTTGAGGTTTACTTATAAGGAATAAGCACAGAATATACAAAATGGAAGTCTGAGCTTATAATATGCTCCTTGCAAAAGCATTCAAAAGTTCAGAGGAGGAAATATGTCCTATGACATTGTGCAGTTGAACATCAAACTCTTTCTAATCTGAACCACATAGAGAAGATGTTGAGTTTAAAAAAAGGGAGATGGTTAAACATAGGATTGGTGACTTTTAAAAAGTTAGTATCTGAGTCTAAGCAAGGACCACCATTGGGGCTTACAGAGAGATCTGAACCATCAAGACACCAGTGCCGAATATTTAACTATCCCTGTTTTAGATATGAAAAATGTAAGGTTGAAAGAGGAGAAACATAATTTTTCAGGGCTCATTACTACTTCCACAATCCCAACCCAGACCTGATKTCAGCCTGTGTTCTTAAAAATGATACTGTTTCTACTGGTTCATTAAGTAATAATAGCAACTTTCAACAATTATTAGAGGCCAGGCACTGTGCTGTGTGTTTTTAATTGAAGATCACACAAAATCTTAACATGTCTGATCAAAAGTCATGCTCTGGAAGTAGATTTTAAACTATGTAATAATAATAGTTATAAGTCTACTAGAATGAGTCTCCTTGGTTTTTCAAACATTTTTTTCTTTAGATTTCATGACCCTCCTGAAAGTTGCATGAGGGAAGACAAAAGTTAATTGAGCATTCTCGTATGTTCGCTAAGTTTACTAAGGTTATGCTTTGATTAGGCATTTGTTCTAAATTTTAAAATGCCTAATCAGAATTTAAAAATTTTAAAATACAATATTCCATATTGGGAACATGTTCTCTATGTAATGCTTTTGAATTTCAGGCTTTTTTATGCCTTCAAGTGGTTATATGTTTGGATTTTATGATAAGGTTGGAGTAACTGAACTCTAGACTTCATCAATAGTTAATATTCATTAACAATTTAAAACAATAGATAAAAGCAAGAGTGTGCATGCAAAATAAAAAAGATGAAATAAAAGATGTCAAAATAAATAAATAGAAATAATTAAATCTGCTAAAGCAATACCAATTCATATATAACATGAGATTCAAAATTTCTTCATTTGAAGCAAAAATGATTAATCACATCATTCAACATATAGTTTTAAAGGTCTTCCATAATCTCTTGATATGGAGATTACATACATCTTTTATGTTTCTGCACATCATTTACCACCCTTTCAAGGAAGTTAAATAGCAAACAGTCATGAAAAGAGAAAGTGMCTTCCTCTACAAGAGGGAGCAAGTTATCATCTCATGTAGTAATGATAATGTCTCCCTGTAAAACAAAGGTTAGATGAGATTTTTAGTGTTTTTTGTTTTCATCTTTGGTATTGGGGGGGTTGAAGCAAGGGGTTCTTTACCATTGAACTACATCTCCAGCCCTTTTTACTTTTTTGAGACAGGATCTCACTAACTTGCTGAGGGTCTTACTAAGTTGCTAAGGTTGACCTTGAACTTATAAGTCTCCTAACTCAGGTTCCAGAGTCGCTGCAATCACAGGCATGGGACAATGCTCCCAGCAAAGATTAAACAAGTGTGTATGTAGCCCATTTTAAAAGATTTTTTAAGTTTCATTAAGCACAGCCACCGTAGCTGTGATGCAAACCT